AAGGTACCAAAGTTAATTATTTAAATATGAATCTTACCAATTCATTCAATAGCTGGTGGGTGTATTATACTTCTGTGGTTATTGTTATTAACCTTATTGTCATATTGTTGAAGAATAAACCAGCTGTTTGTCTCACACTAAAGTCTCGCTGCAGCTACATTTCATTAAAGGAAACCTGTGGAGTTTTCTCATAAATAAACAATTCTTGTTACATTCAGTGTTTCTCACTAAAACACAGTTTGTGTCCTTGAGGTCTAACAAATGTGTTGAATATATTCGCTTTCCACATTGCTAAGATGTAGTCTCACACATCTCTGTCTGATAAGATTTAGTTCTTCTATAACTGTCTCTGCTGTACATTGGCCGGTTGAAGAGTGTGAAACCTATAAACAGTCTATTCTTATACACTCATTGGGCTGCAGACATTTGATAATAAAACATAAAAAAAACATATTAGAGACTTATAATTCTAATTTCTTGCCGCAGATCAGTAAGCCAGCAGCAAAATAATCTGTCGATGCACTATTAAATTCTTTCTTTTCGTTTTTAGATTTGGAATTCATAGCTAGCCTAGCAAGGGAGAAGAGTAGCCACCGCTACTGAGGTTTATAAAAATAGGTCAGGTCACGTAACATTTGATTATTGATAAATTATTCATGAAACGTTAAAACATTTTCTAAAATTCTGTGTATAATGGATAAATTACAACTGGGTAAAAATCACTTTAAGCCCACAGGGAGCCTCTGCAGAGGGGCCTATAGAGCCACAGGTTGCTTTACCCTGGGCTAACCTATAGTCAGTAAAATAATAGTGAAATTAAAATATTCCCTGTTTTTCTGGGGACCTCCTGAAACACCATCAAGGACCCCTGGGGGTCCCTGGACCCTGGGTCGAGAACCACTGGCCTAGGAGACCAATCATTTACTTCAACATCAAGTTTTTAGCCTGAGCAAAATCAAAGCAAAATGGAAGCCACATTCAGTTTCACAGAAACACAAATTCATTGTAAATAAACCCCGAACCAATTTAAACATCTGAGACATTCTAAAATAAAAATGAGCAAGGGAGATGGAGTGAGACTCTTCACTGGTGCTTTCAGCTGGTCTGCTCTGCTTCCAAGGCTGCTCAGTATGGTTTCTTCTGCTCAGAACACACACACACACATATGCAGACAGAGAGATTAAATATTGGTTTCCATTGATGGTGATTGTTAAATCAAAAGATAAAGAACAACAGTTCATATAATCTTACCTGCACTGATTGTTTTCTTGCTGTGGATAGAATAAATGATAACAATCAATCAACACTTTATATGTCAAAGGGAAATAATGAACATTGATTTGCATCTGTTATTTGTCTGCACTGCACATGACGCCATTGTTGTACTGAGAGTGATACCTCTAATGAACCCTTCTTGTACATTCTTTAATGTTCCTTTCAAGGTACCGTGTTTAAATCAAAATGGACAGCACTTAAAGAACGCCTTTCTAGTCTTCCTAGCACTCAAACCATTTTACAC